GGGATCCAGTGGAAGCGATATTAAGATAATTTTAAGCAATATTAATATAAAAGAAAAGAGAGACAAATTCTGTACCCACCACCACCACAAAAAGTACCACTTATTAAAGAAAGTACACATGGTTGAGAGTATTTTTGAACAGAGAAACCTCATAAGCCAACTTATCTCCCTTCTTCTCCCTTCACAAGATTGCTTGCTATGCTGATCCTGAAACAAACGAACAAAAAATGACTAATCTTAAGTAGAAAAAAAGCTGGCATCTGTCAAAAAAGAAAACAGAAAATTGAAAACAAAGCTTCTTTAATAAGTTGAGCTATGTGCTTAACTTATCGGGCCTCCGTGGTGGCGCATGTGGTTGAGTGTTGCACTGTGAAGCTGTCTGCAGCATCTGCAGCGCAGCTTCGATCCTGGCCAGCTGGCGAGAATCGCACATGGTGCCTCAGACCTCTCCTGTCTCACCCGCTGCTCCCCTCAGTATTGGGAGCCGCGCTACCCATGTTGTCCTGTTATAGAGCAACCCCAATATTAAACGGGTTCCTGGCTGTGGGTCCTCACCCGCGCGCTTTAAAGGGACTTATGAATACTCTACTACAGACACACACAAAAAGGTTAATAAAAAGTTTATTTACAAGAGGAAAGGAAATAAGGAAAATGTACAACTCAGGGAGAAAATAGGGAAATAAAGTCTTTACTGCGTCCTACCCGATCCGACGACCTGGAAACCCAAAGTCACTCTCAGAGCTGGCCGGACGCTGCGAGCTGGTGGAGAGCCAAAAATTGGGGATCCTCCAAAGCCCACGTGTCTGCCTTTTATATCCACCTGGCTGCTTAACCCCACCCTCAGGTCCCAGCCACCTTCCCTTTGGTGGTGATGGGATTTGGAGTTCCCAGTGTCTTTGGCTTTGACCTGGGGTGGGGGTGGAGTCCACAAAGCCTATATGGAATTTGCTTTGGGACATCCTTTTCCCCCTAACAGTATGACAAAAGTCCGGGCATGGAGCAGATTTCTGAAAAATCAGGAATCTCGTTAGCTGACTCCAAGATTCTCCTCATTTGTTTATGGCTAGTTTCTACCATTACTAAAATATGCATTTAAAAGTAAAACTGCAAATACTGATTAATCATTGAATAACCAAATTGATGACAAATGGCACTGCATGATACAAATGTTACATTTTTCATAAAATCAGTAGTCCTCTGCCAAAAAGGCAGCAATTCAACATTTGGCTTTACATTAACCAGTGAAAAAACTTCTGGAAACAAAAGGTTGTAAACATCTATCGGCCAAGTCTTTGATATAGAGATGTGGTCTCTTGAGGCAAGAGCTAATTGGAGAAAGAAATTCCTTTACTTTAAAGTTAAAGATAACAGTTGGATGGCAGAGGCGAGCCATGCTCCAAGTATAAGAGGATTCCTTATAAACCAGGAGACAGCCATAGTTGACTCCTGCTAAATTTTTCCTGTTCGTTTAGGGCTAATTCCCTAGGATGTGACAATTGGTATGATAGCTGTTAGAGTATGCATTCAAGAATAAGTCAACAGCAATTTGTGAATGGTTGAGCTAGTAATCACGGCAGCACAAATAACGCACTCGGAAATGGTCAATGTTACAACTACTGATATGTTACATATTGACCATTTTTGAGGATCAAAGGCTATAACCATCTCCGCCCCTACCCCTGATGAAATATTTGTAGTTCCTTAAAACAACATCCAGCAACCTTATGGAAGAGAAAATTGCCCCTTGATCTTAAAGTTAAATATGGAACTAGGCTGACTAGATAGTAGAGGAGTGATAGGTAGAAAACTCTTTGTTTAGATTAGGAGACGACTTCTTCCCTTAATTGAGAGTTGGGGGCTAGGGAAGAGTCAGTGAGGCTTGCCTGGCATTAATGCCCTCTAGGCCCTTGGTTCCTTAATATCAAATCAATATTAAAACAATATACTATAGATGATGATTTCTATTTAAAAGCCTTCTGTTTTTTACTTTAATCAATTAGTTATAAGTTAGTCTAAACTTTATAGGTTAGAAATAATCTCTTTGTCTCCCTTCCCCCAGGTAACTTCCTGCCCTTTGTTTCCCTCAGCCCTTAGTTAATTGTTCACCATGGCAAACTTAGAAATGTTAGTTGCAGATACACAGGCTTTTTTTGCTAGTAATACAATAACTGTTGGCTTGTAAATAACTACTTTGAAAACATTTGTTTAGCAACTGTGCCTTCTTTAAGACAAAGAATAATAAATGTTACACCTCTGCCGGAAGGCAAACAGACCCTTGGCTGCTCCTGAAAAAGAACATGTGATGATTATTACCTTCCTACCTTATGCTTGTGTACTCACGATTTGCTTAGTATAAATAAAGGACTGCTGAGACCCTCAGTAGGATGATGTCAGCACCCTGATCAATTGTCTGGTCTCCTCATTCCCCTTCCCCTTCCCCTTCCCTTATTTTCTCTACAATTGCGCCGACGCCTTCCCATCCTTCAGGAACCCCTGACACCCAGACTGCTGCGGCTGGCTCGCAGCACCTCAGCAGTGTATTTTGTCAGTCTGCCTGTTCTGTTCCCAACTCTGTCTCTGGTGAATCCTCTCACCCTCCTGCACATCTGGCCTGTACCCTGGTTCTTGTATAAATAAATAAATCTTAAAAAAATATAAGTTAAGCATATATCTGTATCTACATGTACATTTATATCTGTATCTAAATCAGAGAGCGAATAGAAGGAAAATAGAAAAGACAAACCACAGAGCAGAAGAAAAGTGAAACACTACACTGATATGAATAACCTATATTAAACAAGCAATTGCATTATGAAAAGACAGCACGAGTCAGACACTCAAAAACTCACGATTGAAATGGACCAACAAAAGGAAGATTAGGAAACAGGAGCTGACTAAGTTGGGAAAGAAATTGACAAAAAAAGACAAAATCATTTCAGAAATGAAAACTAAATTACAAGGTACCTGAGGAAGATAGATATTACTAAAAGTTCAGTAAGAGACACAAGGAATAGAAATGAAAAGGAGTCAGGAAAATGAAACTGAAATAAGAGAGATAAAAAGATCAGAGAGAAAGTGGTAGAGAAGATTCAATATATTTAGTTCAAGACCTTGAACTAGAAAAACAAATGGAAAATGAACAGAAATAATATTTTAAATTATTATGAAACAACTTTTGTGGAATAAAAGGAGGCTCTAATTTCCATATTGAAAGGACTCTGCATACCAAGACAAATTGATGTATAACTGATTTTTAGGTATATTTTACATCCTGCTACTACACCTTAAAATAAAAGGGGTGGGGGCGGAATGCGTAAGCCTCCAAGCCAGAAAATAACATTTTTAATTAAATTAAAAATGAAAATAAAATGGAAAAAAAATCAGCTTTACATTATCCTTCTAGAAACACAAGGAAAGGAAGTGATGGACATTTTAAAGAAATTAAAAATGAGTAAACATTTTACTTTATTGTGAAGTACTGGATAAGTGAAAACTCTGACACCTATAATGAACTCAATGATTACTTGCTCATTGTTCTTAGAACAACTTTGTCTTTTGAAATCTAATGTGTATTTGTTATTTTGAAAAGGGTCAAATTTTTTTTTTAAAGATTATTTGTTTATTTATTTATACAAGCACTGGGTACAGTCAGAAGCGTGGGAGGGTGAGAGAATTCACCAGAGCCAGAGCGGGGAGCAGAGCAGGCAGAAGGACCAAAGTACACTGCTGAGGGGAGCAGTGGGCGGCAGGAGAGGTCTGCGCGCCATGCGGGACCCTCCTCCAGTGGCCGGGGAGCAGCCGGGGATTGAACCAGCGCTGCAGAGGCTGCTGGCAGCTTCGCAACCCAGCGCTCAACCGCTGCGCCACCAGGGAGGCCCGAAAAGGGTCAATTTTTTAAAAACTTTTTTCTATTTCTCTTCATTTGGGAAAATTGAATATTATATTCCTAATCTGCACTCTATAATTTATACTATAATGTATTTGGTATGTATTATATAAACTCTGCATCATTTTGTAAATATTAAACTTTTTTTCTTCATAAAATAACCACTCAGAGAGTTATTGTTGTCTTCATTTTATTTATATATTCACTCAGCAAACATTTATTGAGTTTAATATTTTATGGTAAACATTGACTATCCAAAGAAGAAATAAGATGTACTTTTTGTCTTCAAAGAGGCGAAAGATATGCATAGATGTGTCTAAATAAATGATTATATTTGCAAGAAAAATACAGAAGAAATTGGTAGTCGGTCCAAACAGGAAGCAGAATGGAGAAAATCAGAAAATCGTGACGCTACAAAGCCCATTGGTGGGAGAACAGTAGTTGGATATGCTGAAATAACAGATTGGTACATAGAGGAGTTGCTGGAGATGAGGCTTGAATGTAGCTGGAACTAGGTTTTGAAGACCACTAAATGCTTTGATAAAAAGTGCACCCTAATAACTGGTTGTTTTAAAACATTTTTAAGTCTTACAGTAAAAGACAGTATCTGGGAATATTAGAATATTTTTTATTAAAGATTTATTTATTCATCCATACAAGAACTAGGGTACAGGCCAGAGGTGTGGGGGGTGAGAGGACTCACCAGGAACAGAGTGGGAAATAGAATAGGCAGATTGACTGAAACACTGCTGAGGGGTCGAGACAGGAGAGGTCTGCTCTGCCATGTGGGTCAGCTGCGTGGCCAAGGAGCGAACTCAGTGCTGCAGTAGCTGCCGATAGCTTCATAGTGCTGAGACATAACCCCTTGTGCCACCAGGGAGGCCCTGGGAATATTAGATTATGTTAACTAATCCTATTTCATACTAATTCAATTCAATCTGAATATAGTTATGTTAAAAATTATTAGGTGACTTTTCATAGATTGTTATTTCATAGATTATTTAAAAACTTAAACATACATTTTAACATATTTCATATTTGGCTTATTTAAATATTTACCATATTTAAAAATAGTCTTTAACTTAACTTTGTATTTTTTAATTTCTATTTCCAGATATAAAGAAGACCGGATGGATGAGGAACTAATGGAACCTCTGAAATATGCTGAACAACTTCCTGTAGCTCAGATAATACACCAGGTTTGCTTTCCATTTAATTCTTTTGAAAGAAACAAGATTTTTAATCTCTGAAAAGTAATTGCTTTTGTTAGCTTTTTCAGAATCAATGTGCTATAGCTGAAAGGCATTCCAGGCCGTCTATCCCTATTTAGACTCCACCTATTACAGCTGGAAGTCTCATTCAAAGCACAATATTAAAAGGCTACTTGCTGTGTAACAGTAGAATTCTTACTTATATAAAATACAGGGTAAAATCAGAATTTTCTTTTCTGTATTACTTAACAACAAGACTTAATTTCAGAAAACTTTCATTCGAACCATTATACATAGTACTTGTTAGTGACAAGAAAAAAAGCTGAAAAATATCACCTTGTGTAATTTTTTGGAGTAGCTAAAATGAGAAAACAGTCTTTCCCTACTCCTTCTATCCCACTCCATTATCGACTCTTATAAAGTATAATTCTAAATGTCATGTGGGCAATTTTTTCATTTCCAATTGTAATAACTCTATCATCTCTTCTACATAACTATAACCTAAAAGAAGGCAGTGTGGTAAGTATTTAAACTTATATTTTGTACTGTTATATTGATAGCATATTAAATCTGTTGGGCCAGATTCTAAGGATTTTAAATAGTCTGTTGATAGAAGTTATGGCTTTTAGACCTACCAGGTTTTTCTTAATCCATAGGTTATAGGAAACATTAAAAGTCCTTAAATGTCAGAATTTCTTAGAATTTTAATGAATCCTAACTATTATTGAGTCTTTCTACATTGTCTTTTGTCAATCAAAATAATTTTTATTAAGCTGATATGATTAAAGGTGTCAGTTTGAGCTTATTAAAAGACACAGGCTTTTACTTTAAAATATTGACTTTCTAGACCTTTCCATTGACATTGAAATTTAGTATTAAAATTCTCTGAGAAATTACCAAAAAATGGTCAGAAATTTACTCCTTTGGGAAGCTTGTCTGTGCTTGGTAATCAGGTCCAGTTTATATGTCAGGAATTCCCTGGTGTTGTCAGAGCTTAAATGACCTAACAGCCTGCAAATGTCACATTTAAAATTCTGTCTTCATGCCTGACTCTCAGCATAAATGAATTAAACAGCAGAGCAGGCAGCAAGTCAATATGTTCTTAACAGTAAGAGTGAGCAATGAAACAGTTTGTGGTTTGTTTAGAATAGGTAAATAGAATCTGCCCAGAATAGTTCACCTAGAGTAAAATCTGAAACAAGAAGCAAGAATTAACCTTTAAGATGGTTGACCAGATGAAATGTCAGTCATGTGTTTATAGCATGAAGGAACCAATAGGCTATGGTTTATATAACAACTGCATTTGTTATTATACACTGTGTGAATTCAAAGATAAATTATTTTTGACCCTGGTGAAAAATTTCATGCTATTTTTGGCAGTATAGGAAGTTTATTATAAGCATTATAATTAAAATTCTGTAGTGCTTAGTTTAACAAATTTTGGTTTTTAAGAAATTTTCACAGGATGAAAACAGGGTAGGGAAGAGCACCAGGAACTATGGTAATGAACTGTGGATGCTTTGGTGATGAGAGAACTCATCACTCCTGAGGGGAGAAATTATATATTGTCCAAAAATTAACAGCACTCTAAGAAAAATATTTGATAAAAAAATTTAAAAGAGTTTGCATGTTAGGGATTCATTTTCTATTTTTTATTGAATAAAATTAATTCTATTCTCAAGGGGTAGTCATGAAGAGGCCATTGTTAAACCAGATTCTTCATCTGTTCCTGTTCTTACTTTCCTTTACTGACAATATTATAACCTTGGCACCATTACCATCATCCGAACAAATGGTCTTTAAGATAAACATATAAATTGTGTTGCTAGAAGTTCATTTATAAGTGGACATTTGAAAACAATATTTTTCACTAAGATAATGGTAATATATAAGATAATAGATTCAGTCAATTCAACAAAAGCCTTCTATCTGTACTGCATCTAAATTATAGCATTATTGTATTATAAAACTAACCCCTACCCATAACTTTGTTTTTCCTATCTGTAACTTTTCCCCACTAATCTTACATCATGTTTTACTGCTTCATATTTTAGAGAATGTGTCATATTTGATTGTCTTTCTAGACCTTTTTCATTTCTGGATATTCTTTTTAGCATCTTAACCTGGTGCCTTTTCATCATATATACGAATGGCTGGATACACATTTTTAGTAGTAGGTATACTGAGAACCAGGAACACTTCTTCCTCATTACCCAGACATCAGAAGTCAGGGCCTCTTGATAGTCGCACGGTATAAAAGCTGCAGGAGAGAAGGAATAGGGACAGGGCTTGTAACATGAGGAGCAACTTGAGAAAAAAGAAAAGGGTGGACTGGGTTCTCAGTCATTTGAGTAATTCACTTAATATATGTTGCTAAAACTGCTTTTTACAATCAGGAACTATACAAGATTTCAGTATTGCCGTTTTATACTTCAAAATTGTTTGTCATCTTCGGGTCCTAGCTCATATGACCACTCATCTAGGAAACCCAAGAAAATCAAGTGATAAACAGTGGAATTAAAAAATGTCTGGTGAGAATAGCTAGATATAAGATAAATAAAAATGATAACTTCTCTTTATTTGCTGCCATCTTGGCACCTCCTCTTTTGCTTTATATCCCTTCACCCCCCCCTTATATCTTTTTTTTTAAAGATTTATTTGTTTGTTTATACAAGCACTGGGTACAGTCAGAAGTGCGGGAGGGTGAGAGAATTCACCAGAGCCAGAGTGGTGAACAGAACAGGCAGACTGACGAAATACACTGCTGAGGGGAGCAGTGGGCGCTGCAGGAGAGGTCTGTCCCACCATGTGGGACCCTCGCCGGCGGCCCGGGGATCAAACCAGCGTTGCAAGGGCTGCGGGCAGCTTCTCAGCCCAGCGCTCAACCACTGCACCACCAGGGGAGGCCCTGTTTTATATCTTAATGCCACGATATCCTCAGTAATTTTGGTTCAGACTCTAGGGGTCTTTTTCTCTTTTCCTATCTTTCTCTCTTTCCCTCACCTTTCCTTTACCTTTTTACCTTCCTTCTCCTTCCTTCCTCCTCTCCCACTGTCTCCACTTCTTCTCTCACTCAAAATATTCATAATTGTTTTTTAACTTTGTAAATTTGTTCTTTGAAAGTCTCTCACATTTCTGTATTTGTTGTACAACTGCGAACAAGTGGAAAACATCATATCTCACAGATAAATCATCACCGTCAGAAAATAATTAGTACCATTGTGAAAGTTATAATCATTCACATTTTATGCATGGCTAAACTGAGGTTCAGAATGGTTTAAGTAATTTGCTAAGGTCTTCCATATTAAGTGGTAATGGGAGAATTTGAGTGTAGGTCTGTTTAACTCCAAAGTCCGTCCTCTTAACTACTATGCTATACTTCTTTTTTGTTTTTAAAGATTTATTTTTATTTATACAAGAGCTGGGGTACAGGCCAGAGGCACGGGAGGGTGAGAGGATTCACCAGAGACAGAGAGGGGAGCAGAACAGGCAGACGGACTGAAAACACTGTGAGGGGAGCAGCAGGCGAGGCAGGACAGGTCTGCCTCGTGTGAGTCTCTCCCTGGCTGGCCGGGAATCAAACCCACGCTACAGAGGCTGTGGACAGCTTCATAGCACTGTATTCAACCAGCTGCATCACTGGGGAGGCCCCTACTATGTTATACTTCTTTCTGGTGAGCATTATGAAGTTCTCTATATTCTATAAAAGAATCTTGTCCCCAGAAAATTGGATGAATGAGTATAAATAAGTGTAGTACATATTCTGGTTAATTGAAACCATATTTTAGAAGAACTAAAGGACAACAGAATTAGTTCAACATTCAGCAGATGAATATTCACATATTTAGAAATTGGTCTAAAGAGAGTGTATCCTTTATGCACTTGTATTCCTGATTTTCTTTTCCAATCCAGTTGCCCTTGGCTTCTTGATAAGGGTTTGAGTTGAGATAAAGATCTGAAGAGATGCCCACATGGCTCACAGACCTCTCCTGTTGCCCGCTGCTCCCTCAGCAGTGTACTTTGGCCCTTCTGCCTGCTCTGCTCCCCGCTTTGGCTCTGGTGAATTCTCTCAGCCTCCTGCGCTTCTGACTGTACCTAGTGCTTGTATAAATAAATAAATAAATCTTAAAAAAAGAATATATATAATTAAAAAAACTAATAAGAAAGGCTGCTAAAATTTAGCGTTGCTTATGTAAAATCTTATCTAGTTGACTCAACTGAAGAGAAAAATATTCTGTGGTCCCCTCGCTGAGGATCCATATTTAGTTCAGCAACCTTAAGGTTTTAGTTGACTTTTGTGAGCTATCCTGATATTCTAACCACCACTTACAGTATGGTTTTCAAAACACATTTTCTGTTTTCCTTAAAGCTAGTGGTAATAAACACATTTGGACTATAATTCATTCTATGGTTGCCTTTTTCCTGTTTCCCACTACTGAGGGGAGCCAAATAGATAGTGGTTTGTCCAAAGTTGTAAGAAAAATGAGTGTTAAAGAGCCCTGATAATCATTTATACTGCACAAGTGGACTGTAAATGCTTGAGAATTAGCTACACACAACTAAAATAAACTATCAGTAATTAAAAACAACCAGACAAACACACATTTCTTTCACAAGTCAAAGTAATTTAGAGTTCATCACATTTAGAATGCAGACATCCCTAATGAATATTAGACATTTGACCCTTTGTATTGCCTTGAATATTAAGATCTTGGTAGTAATTAACTGTACTCTCTTTGCATTATAGCTTTATCATCTTAGTTACTAAGACAAAAGACTTTCAGAAAATTATTTGGAGACTCTTCATAGAAAATACAAGATTTTTTCTCTCTTTAAAAATATTTTGTATAAATTGTATTTTGTATAAATAGTAAATAGTATTGCCTAAGGTATATTTCATAATGGTTTTTCATTTGATTAAGAGATACCATAATTGAATTAAAATGATGGCTCCAAGCTGAATTTCGATCCTTTAAAAATTTATTGTA